CGTAAGCAAGCAAGCACGCAAGCACGCAAGCAAGCAAGCAAGCGAACTTAATATAAAGGATTTAAAAAGCGACATGCCTCTGGTTTTGCTGAAAATCAAGTAAACTGGCACATTTGCCCATCACGTGACAACTTTATTTCATTGCCTCTGTCATGTGGTGGAAGGTTACAGTTAAACATTGTGACATTGTACACTACGCAATGATCGAACACAAAAAAGAGAAAGAGTCCCGCCTTTTGGCGTTCTCTGCTCTGACACTGGTGAGACGAGGTCCTAAAGAAGGCTGTCTCTGGTGTCGGCCAATCAGTTTCAAAGACAACGCAGATATTATTATCAGAGCATGTTTGCTTGCTTGTCCACCACAAGTACGTGTGGTTAATGTGAACTTGATTCCTTGCAAAAGGTTTCTATTTGTTGTTTTAACATCTTAACCCCTCCTGTTTAATTGCCAGAAAGCGTAAGGCGTATTGTTCTTTTTTCATGCACAGAACTACAGTAGAACCTCAGAGATCGAACGCACCAGAACTCGAACCAATCGGTGTTCGAACGATATTTCTGAACATTTTTTGCCCCGGAAACCGAACGAAATTCGGAGGTCGAACGGGCAATCGCGTATGGCAGCGTGCATGACGCTTGCCCAGACAAAGGTTTTTCCACCTCCTCCTCCTCCTCCTCCTCACCACCTTCCACTCAAGCCATCAACTCTCCTTACTACAGGTAAAGTGAAGTTCAATGTTCATTTATTTCATTCATTCCATATATTTATTCCATTTATTTATTGTGTTTCTTGTTTTTTTGTATGCTTTTATGCATGTAATTACTGTAAGCTTCGTGTAAAAATGCTTTATAATGAGATATTTCTTTTGTCTGGAACAAATTAACGTCATTTACATTCATTCTTATGGGGAAAATTAATTCGGTGTTCGAACAAAATCGGTGTTTCGAATGTCCTTCTGGAACGAATTAAGTTTGATCGCCGGGGTACCACTGTACTTTGGAGATCCCTTCGAGTGCCCTGTTATGCACACTAGGTGGCAGCAACTTCCCCATCTGCACCGGGACACAGCGATGTTTGTTCCATGACATTCCAACCCACTTTTTCAGTTCTCAGGAGACTGAAATTTAAGCCGAACTAAGCACAGAACAAAATGTAAAATGATTTTATTCATGGACGCCGGAATATGAACACGACATATTATTGAGGTGAGCGGCTTTGCACTTGGAATGTTGCGAGTTCAAATCCCTGACTGGGGGTTTGACTCGGCCCATCACTCCGGCTGGGTCGATAAAATAGATACCACTTTGTGGTGCCATCAACAGTGGTCGTGCTATGATATCACTCGCCCCCCGTCATAGAAACGAGGAGTTTCCACCACTGTCTTAGGGCTGTCAACAACGGATGAGCTCCACCTCCATGCTCATTTGAGCAGCAAAATCACTTGGATCAATGCAAGCGATCCAGAGTGGTGCAGCGGTCGTAGCGTGTTACTTCGCAATCAGAACGACAGCCAGTTCAAACGCCAACCGGCGTTATCCAACCCCATCACCTCTCCATGACACACAAGTCACATTTTGTCAAGTGAATTTCCCCCTGCCATAGGAATGAGGAATTTCCACCACCGGCTGCGGGTTGTAAATTGCACACGATCGGCGACGAATACGTTTTCGAGCGAGTTAACCGCTTCCATTGTCTGCACATATATAAACATATATTTTCACACACACACCAGTGCCGCCGACTCTTTTTACGGTATTATTACGATTACACGCGTTCTCCCGCAGCAGCCCCAGAACCGAGGCTAAATATACTCCGCAGGAGGAACCATGGAGACGGGGGGGGGGGCACCGCGCACCACACAAGGGCAACACTGTCGCTCCTCCGCACAACAACAAACATCTCCCCCGGGGCCGACTGACTTCGGAGCGCGTTGCCCGTTCCTGTATAACGGCAAGGCCCAAAATTTCTAACGGTCGCGCACATCGGGCGGCCGACTGAGTGGCGGTGGCGGCGTTTACCGCCGATCCACCGCTTCCTACGAAGTGGCAGCTCACGAGACGCCGGGAGGCACGACGCAGCCGCAATATTGGGTCTGTCTCAAGAAGGGTCCCTGCCAAGTCAGGGATATAACTGCTGGTGGTGGGGGGGGGGGGGGCACAAGCTGTCGAAGGTGGTCTTAACACCAGGGACAGACGGCAATCATAATAATGACGGGAATAAAGGAAATCGATTTTGACACATTCGTCAAAGTTGAGTTTGTTATTGACGAATTTTTTCAACGGAAATACGTATGGAATATTTGTGCCTGCGTACTACGCTGCCAGCTCATAATCGTAATAGATTTTGTAACGTAGCATCTTTCGTCAAAAAGATGACCACAAAAGTAGTTCAGAGGATGATTCGTGTTATCTCGTATAATCATGATCATCGGCCATCTGCTGCTGGATGAAGGCCTCCCCCAAGTGGCCAACACTTCTCATGATCCCGCAATGTGATAATCCGCCTAGCACCTGCACGCGAACCGATTCCATCGCTCTATCTCCACGTAAATCTGCTCTCCCAAGTAAATCACATGATACCGTTTGTTGTTTATCGCTACGTGACAAAACGTTTCCCACTTTGCAGGTTTGCAAAACCACTTTGGAAATAAGTTCCGTCAGGTTTGCTTATCCGGGCCATTCTCCTAACACATGGGGGGGGGGGGGGGGGGGGCGATGCGTTGCTTTGCCAGACTTCGGAATAGAGTTGGCACAATTGGAAGCAGAAAAAACTAAATTAAAATAACATTTGCTCAGAAAACACACATGAAAAAATATGGGAAAATGAACGCGATTCTAAAGTAACAGGGTTTTGATGACCACAGCGTGACGTGGAGAGCAACCACCCCCCCCTCCTCCCATCCAACGCAACAGCTGTTTTTAAACACCGAGGCAGCGAGCAGCTGACAGCAGGGTGGGTGCGGCAGTCCACAGTAGAAGGGGGGCTGCTGTTTTTCCAACAGCTCGCATAGCCCGCAAGACTTCCTTAAGTCTCCCCGTCCGTCCACAAAGGGGTGAGGGGTCACCGCGACTTCCAGTTGGCTAGCAACAAAAGCGCCCCCCCCCTGCACCCCCCCCCCCCACTCTTCGGGAAGATGCGACGATTGCACAGCGGCCACGCGGGCTGAGATCCGCCGGTCAATAATTCTCTGCACTGCTGCGTAACAAACCCGCGCCCCCCACGCCCCCCTCAAAACGTTCACGGAAATTGTACAGTGACACCTCGGGCGGCCGGACAGAGAGCAGGAGCAGCTGCGGTGAGGTCAAGCCGAAAAGTCTGGTGGCGTGAAGAGTCCAGATAGCTGCGAATGAACATGAAAAATGTACCCAGAAGAGAAAAAAATTGCAACCGTCTGTATATGCCCGTGTGTAGTGCGCGTGTGTTTTACCGTATGGACTAAAAATAAAATAACTGCAGAGTACTGTGCGTTGTCTACTGTGCTGGTGATTTGCTTGGTTCAGTGGTTGAGGGTACATCGGTCTCCCCCATCCCCCACAACCCCTCCCCTCCATCCCCCTACCCTTCCCCATCCCCTCCATTCTCCACTACCCCTCCATCCCCCATAACCCTCCCCTCCATCCCCCACAACCCCTCCCCTCCATCCCCTACCACCCCTCCCCTCCATCACTCCTTCCCCCACCACTAATATATTGAGTTTATTTAATACACGCTTAAACACGAACATACATGTTTTAGACATTATACACTACACTATACAATGTGTTGCAGTGCATTCCATTACACATCATCGATTGTGTATATTAGTCTAAGCAAATATCACGGACAATATTTAATTATATTTCTTATTTTCTTCCATTGGATAGACTGTGGATTTTTTTTATTTTAATAATTTTTATTGGCCAACACAGTCGAGCTAAGTGCGAATTCCAGGTAGCCAGGTGTTCCAATTGTCAAGTACTCTTTGGTTCTTCCGATAAAGTCACGTAGGTAGATTTATTATTATTATATTATCCTTTTTCTACCTACGTGACTTTACCGAAATAACCAAAGAGTATGGATTCCTGCAGTCACGAAAGCTTCAAATCAAGATTAATTGTCAAGTGTTTTACCCTATGAATTGTAAGAATCGCAATTCATAGTCGCTCGTAAGAAGGGATCCGATGAAAGCACACGTCCGTAAATCCAGGTCACCCGTATTACCGTTCCCATTTCTCGCTAACGACGAGCACAATCATTGACAACTTTCGCTCGGAATCGCATTTTCCATGCCACAGTGGGCCAGCAGCAACAAACTCATGCACACTGCGCACACAGGCACAGAGGCCTCTCTCTCTCATCCGAAACAAAAACGCTTGCCACAAATGAACCACGATACCTCGCCGATATGGTCAAGGGGCGTGTAAACCATCGCGCAAAATCCGGTCATCCTCGCAGCAGCAGCGGCAGCTTTTGCCGAGCCAATCGACACAAAGACGGTCATCACATCGCGCGCTTAACTACCTCGCCCGTTATGCAGAAGGTCGTGAGTTCGATCACAACCCGAACGCCCGTATATTTGGAGTTTGTATGTTCGCACCGTGGTCGCGTGGATTTTTCTCCGGGTCCTCTGATTTTTCCCTCTAAAATGTAAAAGCATGCGTTTAGAGTGTTTGGCTGCTATAAATTTCCATGTGATAAGCCACTTTGTTAAGCTATCGTTTGTGGCCAGGTCGCTTCTGAAAAAAAAAGCTATAAAACTCAGCAGGCATTAACTGGTAAAATAAAAAGTTTAGTTTAGTTCAGATGCGCTTCTGCGGCCGTCTGGAACACACTTTCTTCCAATATTGGGAAGCGACTGGGAGCTATCCCCTTTGAAATCTAGATTTAAAACTAATATCTTCAGAACTGCTTCTTGCGTTTAGTTTGTCGTCCTCCGCCCCGCACCTCCGATAAACACGGTTGGCTACGCACGGTGTGAAAAAAGTTCAATACACAAGCGTGTCGAGTGGTGTGTGGTACGCACGTTGTACGCGGATACGATGAGCTCGATGACATTGCTGGAGTCGTTTGCGAGGATCCCAACTGTGGCACCCGGCAGAAGCTCCGTGTAGCTCTACAAAGACAAAGACAAAAATCCCCCTTATAGCCTTAACAGACTGTAGGGGCAAGTGCTGTTAGCGAGCACCTTGTAGTTCTACGCACGCACAGACACACACACACACGGCACTGTCGTTAGCTATTCACACATAGTGCAGACTTTACAAATGGATCCATCGACACCGGTACAAGCTCTATTCTGTTCTTGCGTATGATGAACAACGCACCCAGGAGATAAACGCCAATGTCAAGCGAGGTCTGCGAGCCACGAGAGGGTTCGTGTGGTATTTCTGCGATTCCACCTCCCCTTCTCCTCCTCCCTTGAAGGAGCGCTGACGACAGTGGTGCTACGACATGGGTCCGTGGTTTGGGTTGTGTGGCCACAATCGCACGACTGACTGTGACTTGTCCATTCGTGAAGGAGATGTGCGCGTCGGCCTGTTGATGCTGTGATGCCGTTGATGGTCACAACACCAGCAGTGTCTTTGAGGAGGAATGTCAAAGCCAGGAGTTTGCGATGGTTGGGGTCTCGAATCATCTGCTTGTCCTGTTCCAATCTGATCGTACCCGTCACTCCTAAATTGAGATAAAAACCCCTGAGTGCTTGCGCACGCATTTTCCAATTCAATTGAAACCGTTCATTTGAATCCGGCGTTTTATACATCGTGTAGGATGCCCATGCCAATCATCGATCGCGTGCAGCGTGTAGCGCTCCAATTTGTTATTTAACAGGAGGAGATCTAGGGCATTGGCAAGGCCACGGTTAGGCGTGCCGCGGTGGTGGTGGTGGGTCCGTCTGGAAGCCTAAACCGTAATCCATTCGCCGTGATTTGAAAAACGTGGTCGCAACAACGACGCCATTCATTTGCACCCTTTTAATACAACGACGGCGCGCACGTGAATATAATCCATTAGCACGAGGAGACCTAAGCTACTGCGGATGATGCCGAAAGCCCTTCACCCCCCCTACCACACCGATAATACCCCCACCCACAGTCTTATGTAACCCGACCCCAGGAAACACCAGCGCCTCCACACCATGAGCTGCTGTTGAAATGAAAGGCACGATACACCTGCCTCATCGCCCACCACCGTGAACAACTCAAACGAGGTTCAAAGAGGACTTAGTCCAGGACTGACTTTATGAAGACGGCTGCCTGTGGCCTTGTCACACCGGGGCGTGGGGAGGCCTCGTCGGAACTCGGAAATGAAACGGACCGAGCCTGGACGTGCTTTGGACGGATGACCACCCACGCCGAATAAAAAATATGAACAAATATATACACAATGGGCGATGTGTTGGGCAATGGCCCCTCCTTCAGAGCACACCAAGAAAGGAAATTGCCTGAAACGTCGTCCTATAATTATTGCTTTTCGTTTGAAACAGTGTTACTGATGAATGCGTAGAATTTCCACGCGTTATTTGTGCTCGTGCACCAATGCCATCGCAGCATCGCCAAATAATTTGCTTAACCGTGCACAAGAGGCTGCTGCGGAGCTACGTGGTGGGCATCAAGCATTGTTGTAGTGTGCTTATATGCTCCCGCGTCTACCCTGCCCACACCTTCACAAATCCGCAATGACCTTCTGACCTTTGAGACTGTGCTCAGCAACTATGATTAAAAATTATAGATTTGAAGTTTTCGTGACTGCAAGGATCCATATTCTTTGTTTTTTGTTTTTTCATTCATACGCTACAGTAATTTTGCTGGAGCAGTCACACCTGATGACGGATGCTTGTGTTGCTTCCGAAACGTCGTGATTTAATTGAGTTGTTTTATTTTTATATATTTTGTTTTCACCTACGTGACTTTACAGAAAAAACCAAAGAGTATGATTTAAAATAACAATGCGGTCGACATCTCAATCTTTTGCACAGAAGTAGGGGAGACAGGCCATTGGAAAGAGGTGAACGCAACGATGAGAGGGAGGCTGGTCGGGATTAACGACGCAGATGAGAAGAGGGATGAATTGAAATACAAATGTCATGGAAGACATTGGGGTGGACAGGGAGTCAGTTATGAGAGCAGCGACTCGAAGGCAAATGTCAATGTGCACTTCAAGGAAATAATGTATTGTCATTATTAAGTTTGCCTGCCTCGCCGAGTCTCGACTCTTTATCAAGAGGGTCCTGTCAAATTTGCACAGCAGACAACGTTGCTTCTGCTGTGCGCGTGATCCCAATTGAGTCATTAGCGGGTGATGTTTCAGCATTGGGATGTGTGGTCAATACCAGTTAGGCGGCATATTACTAACAATGGGAGAAAAACGGTGAACTCGGAGGAAACCAAAGCAGAACACAGGGGGCAGAGAGAGAGCGAGAACATACAAACTCCGCGCAGAAAGGTGCCCGAGTCGAGAATCGAACCCCATGTCCTCCTTGCTGTTGGGCACATGCGTTACCACTGCGGCACCCTGCCAACATGTACACAGAGGAGTGACCACGCACGGAATGGAGAATTGGGGGGAGAGGTGGTGGTGGTATCTACAAGTGGCACTGACCACTGAAGGAGAGAGGCCACGTGGAGGGGAGCAGATTAGAATAACACGCGGACCAGAGGTACCCAGACCTTACCTTGTACAGACCAAAATATGGGGTGGTCACGGCAAAAATTAAGTTGATGTTGTTTTCGGCCAACTTCTCACCGAGGAACCCCAGGGAGGGGTAATCCTACACAGAAACAAATATCTTACGAAAAAATATAGAAATGCGGGAGCATGTGAAGCTCATGCAGCAGCAATATTTAAGTGAATGAGCATGCATCACTGCCTCCGGCTGGCAGACAGTAATAAGTATAACCCATAAAAACAAAGTTTTTCACTCTAAATCCTTTATATGCGCGGCGGCTAGAGTCTTCTCGTTCTCTGGCTTGAGATGGCTGCCACCTATGGGTCAGATGATTGTCTGCAGTATTAAACAATTGGTAATTAAATATTTAATTTGTTTTCCCTAAAAAATGTAAAATTTAGGAAAAAAATTTTCACGAACATTAATTGTCTCGCACAACGAGTCTATGTGCAAAATGTCAGCTCGATTGGATCACGGGAAGTGGGTTAAAAAACGACCAAAAGGTTTGCACGGTCGTAAGCAAGCAAGCAAGCACGCAAGCAAGCGAACTTAATATAAAGGATTAAAAAACAGACCTGCAGTCAACCGTAATTACAATTAGAGCAGCATTATTACGACGTGATATTATAACCAAAATTACGTTCTGATTGCAACACATTACGAAGTACAATTGTACTTCACCACAGGTCTGCCAACTGAACCACGCCGACACACACTCCAACCGCGAGCAGACACGGCACCAGATTAGCAGACAGTCCCAACTCTGTGTGTGGGCACGGCACAAGGCTGTGGGACAGCCGAGCTGCGTGTGTGTGTGTGTGGGTAGAGCACAAGGTTAGTAAATGATAAATATTTAAGTGGATGATGCACCGAGCTACCGGACCACCCCAATACTGAGTGGGGTAATGCAACAGGTTGGCACAGGCCAACAGTGATTGGGTACTGCACCAGGCTGGCACCTCCGATTTCACACCTCCGATTAGCACGACTTGCTACGTACGGTGCCAAAGAAGTTCAATATACAGTCAGACTGACTGTGCGTAATGTATCAGGTTGGCACAGGCCAACTGTGTGGGTACTGCACTAGGCCTGCACAGGCCAACCGTGAGTGGCTAATGAACGAGGCGGGCGCAGTCCAACCGCAAACAATCCAACGGTGAGCGTGGGTATCACACCAGGATGTCGGCGGCCGAGTAGCTGTCATTGTTGTCGAGGTGGCAGTGCCCGTCGTGGGGCCGCAGGACCCCACCGAGCCGGCCGTCCAGCGCCAGGTGCGAGGCAGCGTCGGTGGCGAACACCAGCAGGTGAGACGCCTCCTTGCGCCAGCCAATGCGATCCTGCCGGGGCACATTGGGCACATTCCGCGATTGCAGGACTCGTCCAACACAAGCTGTTGGGGCAAGTGCTGTTAGCGGAGCTCTTAGGAAGGCGAGCACGGCGCACGAGGGCATGGTGTGGCCAGCACCATGCCCGGCTGCCTTTGTCTCCCCAGTGTTTTATAGATGACACCAGGTACTCATTTAGGGACAAGTTTACCGACAGAAGGCAACAAAACTGGTTCAGGCAATCGCCACGAATGATGGCACAGCGCGCGATTGTGCCACCACTCCTCACATCTAGCACCAAAGACAAAGATCCCCCGTATAGCCTTAACAGACGGTTGGGGCAAGGGCTGTTAGCGGGCACCTTTGAAGGCCGGAACGGCACGCGAGGGGGTGGGGATGGCGAGCACCACGCCCGACCGCCTTCGTCTTCCCAGTGGCGATGTTAACACACTGCACTAGGTACTCATTTTAGGCCGAGTCGACATAGGGGAGGCCCAGACCAGTTCAGATAATATAATCGTTACTGGTGTTGACCGTGAGCGGCAATCAAACTCGGGTCGCACGGCTCGCAGACTTAAACTTGGACGTGTCGTTTAAAAAAAAACTTGCCGTACGCTCGGGAGACACTGGCAGACCAATGTCCCAGAAAACTCTTGTGAATGAGACTCACCCGGGTCTCTTTCAGTTCTCACCACTGGGTTAAACAAAAATACACTTTAAACTTGAATTTGCTGCCAAATGAAATTGTTGGCTTGAAGGCATCTCCGCAAGTCTTGCGACGCAAGTGCTTGCTTTTGATTGTGGTTTGGAACGATTCGTGTAAGGATTCAATGATTCTCGTACTCAGGATACACGCGTAAAAATTGTTTCCATAAGAGCCGGTTATTTGAAATGTATGAAAAATGACATGCTAATTGCAAGAGAATGTTGCCTGTTGGCTACTGAAAATAATGAGAGCAAAACAGGATGGAACATAAGAGATGGAAGAAGCAAGCCAAGACGGAACAAATCGGAACCCTGAATTGCGACAATTCATCAAATCGCATCGGGTCAGCGTATAATTCAACGCCTCATTATAAACGCATTTCAACCCTACTGCGATCAAATGGAAGTTATGAAGATGCACTGAGCACCCACAACATTACACAGCTCGTGGAGGTAGTATTGGTACGCGTTGAGAAGAGACTAGAGGGGGGTATAGAGATACCACTGGCGCACGGCACAAGGAGGAGAGTTGGACAGGCGGTGAGAGATATGGATGCGGTGAAACAAGATACGATGACAGTGGATGCGATGAAAGCAGAAGAACGAGGAGAGAGCCACACAGAGTAAGAAGATTCCAGCAGCGGCCCCAACGCATTAGTGGGACTTCTGGATGAGAGTAAAATGTAGGTCAATGGGAATGATGTATGTACAGTAAAACCTTGGATTGCGAGTAACTTGGGCTGCGAGTGTTTGGCAAGACGAGCAACATTTTTTTGATAAATTTTAACTTGATAAACGAGCGAGGTCTTGCAATACGAGTAGTACGTACAGTATACGCTTTGTCTACCGAGCGTCACGTGATCACAACTGAGCCAATGGTTCTTCTCTCACTCTCACTGCGGGATTGTGGGTAATCGTCTCCCATGCTCGGTCTCAGTGGGCGTGCCTCACTCGTATAGTCAACATCCGTGCGAGCGTAGACTGTTTACTAAAGTGTTGTGACCACGTGTGTGTGTGCGTAAAGCATTTTTTTATTTTGTGTCCAAGTGTAGTGGCTGTTCTTTAGTAACTGTACTGCAACAATGGGCCCCCTCCTCCTCTTCTCTCTCTCATCTCCCTCACACCAGCCACGATTAAAAGTAATTAATACATTTGATTACTTTATATTAAATAAAAATAATAAAAATATAAAAAGGTATTTTGGATTAATAATTTTTACGTAAATATTTTTGGGTTGTGGAACGAATCCATCGGAGTTTCCATTATTTCTTATGGGGAAATCCGCTTGATATACGAGTGCTTTGGATTACGAGCACGTTTCTGCAACGAATTATGCTCGCAATCCAAGGTTTCACTGTAGTATGCTCCGTGCACACGACAGGAGTGACAAACAGAGAAAAAGGTAAGCAGGCCGCAAAACATAATTAAATACCAAATTAATTATTCATAGAAGTCAGATTCATCACGCTTGGGAAAGGCAGCAAGAACACCAAGAAAAGCGTCCCAGACCACGCCAAGATAAGGCCGCACGAGACGGGACATTAAACATTGACCTGGCGAGTGAACATCATGCGCGTGTGCGTGTGTGTGTGCGCATCGTGGTGACGTCACCGCCACTTAGTGGCGAATGGCGTTGTTGTTGTGTGTAACCGGCACTGCTGCGCAACGCACCCCGCACACCGCGGCCTGCATGATGGCATCGAAGCCACCCTCCGGGGCGTCCTTGTTGCGGGAGACGTTGAGACGCTTCACCTCCTCGTTGAAGCGGTCCACCTCGTCGGTGAGCGAGAGCAGGTGGCGGAATCCGAACGACGGCACGCACTTCGGGAAGCGCTTGTACCTGCTCGGTGAGAGCATGGGGCAGCGGGGGGTGGGGGGGGGGGGGAAGGTGCCACCTGTCACTCAACCGAAGTGAGAAGAGCACGGCAAATAACGTGGCTCCGTGGGCTTCGTTTTGTTTAAAAATTCCCAAGATTGATGCGGATTGTGATGTCGGGATGACGTCATGAGACATGGTATCCACTCAGAACTATTGGAGGGCAACTTTGGGTCATTTAAATGCAGGACCAATTTATGTAAACTTCAAATCTAGAATGCGCAGTCATTGTTTGTGGCTCGGCACTAAACGAACAGGTAACAGCTAGAAATTGATACAATGACGCTTAGCAAAACGGACGATATGACGGTAGCTGTGGACGTTACCCCGTATGATGTATCATAGTATATTGGCATATCGTGGCCACCCCACCAACTACACGGAGCCACCGGTCGACCAGTACAAACTTTACTGAAATCCCACTACGTGAAAAAATAATGAAACAAATCGATAAGAGCGTTAACATCCAAGCGTTTGCACGAATTCACGCACCGTGAGGCAGGCCTCGCCAGAATGGGGCATCCTGTTTCATCCTTTGCTCCGTGTCCACCGAGAGGCGTGCACGCGCGTACGTACATACGTACACACCTGCGTGCGTGCGTGCGCACTTGCGGCTTCTCACCCGGCGCAAGGGTTGTGAAGGTACGCCGGCGCCGAGAAGGCGTAGGGAGAGGCCGGTTTGTCAACAAACGAGCCGAAGCCCAGACGCAGGTTGCTGGTGAGCCCCGCCATCTCCGCCGCCAAGCGGGAGCCGAGCAGCTGCATGGTGGCCAGGTCGTCGTGCATGGACAGAGACAGGTCCATCATGTAGTAGATGTCCACCGGGTAGTCTTCCACTTGGCGAACCCGAACTTCAAAGCTCACGGGGTCCCCTGTTGGCGAGGTTGCGAGATCAGAGACGAGTGTTTAGAGCAGAGGGGAGCGCAGACACTCTGGGTATCGTCGGTGTCCAAACGGCCAATATGTATATATCTCTAAACGTCGCAAAGAGACACCAACAACATGTTTAAGTAAAAATTGCACCTTTGACTATTAATACTGGTAGGAACCTCCTGGTTACACTAGCCCACAGGGAATTATTGTATCCGTCCGTCCATCGTGCAGGGAGGGGCTGGGTGGGGAGGGGAGGGTGGGGAGGGGCTGGGTGGGGAGGAGCTGGGTGGGAAAGGGTGGGGCTGGGTGGGGGGTAGGAGGGGTGGGGCTGGGTGGGGAGGGGCTGGTCACCCCGTGGTGCCCTTATAAAACTCAACGTTTAACTTACTCACGCCGGCTTGTGCCCGCCCTCACAGTCGGCCATATTTGCGGAATACACCACGCCGCCGTTGACCCTGGCCATTGACCAAGCAACCCAACGTTCCTACCAGCTCCCTCCGCAGGACAATGTGTTTTTACTACTTGTGTTGGTGAGGTCGTGGGATCACAGACAAGTGTTTATAGCAGGGGGGCGAGCAGCCACTGAGCGCATCGTGGGTGTCTGGACACGCAGAATGTTTAAACGTCGCAAAGAAACATCCACAACGTTTTAAATAAATAAATAAAGATATTCGAGTCATCTTTGACTACTTATCAACAAAGTGACATGTCTACTTTATTTTAAGCTTGTAAACAATGTTCTTTCTAAACATTGCACACATGCACAATGCACCAAGTGATTTCACACACTGGTGAACATAGGGAGATTACCACCGGCTGTTTACTGCCCTTAGCAAGTGGTGGAAATTACATTCTTGTGACAGGGATGTGCAAACCCACAGCCCGATTATTCATAACTTCCCACAAAGTGGTACTCGTTTGATCAACTCTAGACGGATGAATAGCCGAGTCAACCACCAACTGAATGTTTAATGCCCGGTCTTCCCATTGCCAGCTGTACTCCAACCACATAGCACGTGGCCAGACTGACAGCAGCAGGTGCAATGAGATTCTTAATGAGCAAGGTGCGTGCGGTAGAGCTGGGACGTCCACAACCATCCAACACCATCAGGGATAAGACCAGGCCCTTGGGAGCGAAATTTAGGGCCACGGAACATCACGTGCGGGAGCCCCCCCCCCCCCATCACTTCGCATGAAATATAAAATCAAATGCTTTGTATTTCATGTAGAGGCCCGCAAGGCCCTGAACTTGGGGCCCTGGTGCAATTATTTCACCTCTCACCCCGCCCCAACTCTCATCAGACCGTGGACTCACCGGGCCGCAAATTCAGAGTCACGGCTTGCGGCGACTGCTGCACCACAGCCGCTAAACCGCCGCCGCCGCCGCCAGCTGCCGCAGTGTCCAACTTCTCGCTCAGCGGCATATCCTTCGTGATCGACCGCCCGCTTCTGGGAGCCTCGATCTGCTCGGCGGGGCAGCCGGCCTGCAGGAGGCGGCGAACCAGGTCACAGCGTGACAGGCCTCCCGCGGGGCTGCCCCTGAACTCCTGCGCGAGAAGGGAAAGGAGAGTTTAGGCTGAAAAGGGATTTGATCGCCTCAAGTTCTTGGGCTCTTTACGCCCCCAACTTTGGCGCTTAACGGGACGGAACGACGAATCGGAAGTAACGGGCCATACGGGAGGGCGTGTGGCACAGTTTGGCGCCAGCTATCGTAGAGTGCAGCGGTCGTGTCGCTACAGTTCTCTGCGGTGAGTACAACGTCTTTAAAAGCAGCCGGACTACCAGCATGTGTATTCGTTTGCCAGTAGGGGGCGATATGCGTTAAAAAAAACTATTTCACTGCTCAATTCATACTGTTTGGTTCTTTCGGTAAAGTCACGTGGGTATCAAATAAAACAAAATTAATTAAATCACGACATTTCGGGCGCAACACAAGCGTCCGTCATCAGGTGGGACAACCACAGCAAGAAACAATTGCTGAAGTGGGCAAAAGGGCTGCTGCAACAAGAGGCAATATAGGTAAGAGGGGCGGGGGGGGGGAGGAGCCAGCAGCCCTTTTGCCCACTTCAGCGATTGTTTCTTGCTGTGGTTGTCCCACCTGATGACGGACGCTTGTGTTGCGCCAGAAACGTCGTGATTTAATTCATTGTTTTATTTTATACCTACGTGACTTTACCGAAAGAACCAAAGAGTACGGATCCCTGCAGTCACGAAAACTTCAAATCTAGAGGTGCTCACTTCATGTTGGCACCAGCCACAATCCGGGTGCAACAGCAGACATTCCTGGCATGAATCGGCCCCTCCAAACACACACGGATTCGACTCAACCGCTTGTGCGCCACCTGCAAAGAGACACACAGAGCCACGTGTTGATGTTCATCACCATCACAAACTGTAGTCTAGCCCACTGTTCAATCAAGAACAGGGAACAGGCTCCTCCTATACTGTCAAGAACCCTCGTGGCCCTTCAAGAAAACACAATGCAACAAACTCTTGGTACGTGACATCCTCTCATCGCTCCATCTCCACAGTGGTCGGGTACCCAGATAAGTTTGCTCGTTTTGCTGTAAAATCTGTCCCATCTCATGCCTAACTTCCTTTTTTTTGCAGTCGATATTGCATGGGACTATAAATAAAACCGCAAAACACAGCAAGTTACAACAACAGAAATGGGACGAAATGCAGACGCGTGCAAACAAACGCACGCAGACAGGACAAATGCTCGAATCTCCAATGCGACAGGAGGCACTGGCGCACGGATCGGAGGAAAACAAATCGGAATCGTCACACTGCTGATGTCACAAACTAGCGCAGCTACAGGCCCATGCAAAGCCGTAATTATAATATATATTGAGGGGGACACATCCCACACAACCCCCCAATATTCAAATATGTTCAAAATGTTCCTGCCAATATATTGCTATAAACAATATTTTTTACAAAAAATTATATGCTATGTAAATAAACACAAAAATTTGCTAAACCTTGGCCACAATATCTGGACTTGTCTTCGTAGAACAATGCATAGATTTCTGTTTATATGATTGTGGTTATGGTTGCACTTTATAAATCCTTAATCTCTGTCATTACATACAATGAAACAAGAAAAGGCTATGTAATACAATACACTATTTGACATAATTGTAAAAACATTTTTTTATATTTTAGGCAGGAAATTTGTTTTCAAATTGTTTTTTTTTCTGGGGGGGGGGGGGGGGGCTAGACCCCCTGGAAGATTTGGTCCCCCCAATGTTGACTCCATGGCTACGGTCTTGGGCCCATGAGTTTATAAAATCAAATGGCAACGTATGCCAACGATTGTACACCCCTGCAGCTTAATTGGCGGGTGTCATCCCAGTAAACAAGCAACCCTGGACCAACTTTGACACGTGATTGAGCCGTTGACCCATGTTTACTGGGTCATTATGAAATCCTTGGCCACATCAGCCGCGATCAATCCACTGCTGGGCGAAGGACTCCTCCAAGCCGTACCCATCTCTCGCAGTTCTGAGATGTAAAAAAAAGAAATCCATCTCACCCCCTGCACACGAGAAGATTTCAAGCGCTCTATTTCCTCGAGCAGTAGTTCTTAAACCTGGGGTGCACGCACCCCCTGGCGGTGTGAGATGCCCTTTCTGGGGGTGCGAGACATGGCCAGACATGCAAACTCCAAATATACAGCAGCAGGCGTCAGGGTCGGGATCGAACCCACGACCTCATGCATACCAGGCGAGGCAGTTAACATCTCCTAGCCACCGTGATGATGATGATGATGTGAGAGAGACACGCAAACTCCAAATATACAGCAGGCGTCAGGATCAGGATCGAACCCACGACCTCCTGCATACCAGGCGAGGCAGTTAACATCTCCTAGCCACCGTGATGATGATGAGAGAGAGAGAGACACGCAAACTCCAAATATACAGCAGCAGGCGTCAGGGTCGGGATCGAATCCATGACCTCCTGTATACCAGGCGAGGTAGTCAACATCTCCTAGCCACCGTGATGATGATGATGAGAGACACACAAACTACAAATATACATCAGCAAGCGTCAGGGTCGGGATAGAACCCACGACCTCCTGCATACCAGGCGAGGTAGTTAACATCTCGCCTAACCCTGGCCCATGTGTTTACTGTTAACCTTCATGCTTTTCGGAAGTCCCAGTAGCTTCCAGCTCAATCGAGAATGGGGTTAGTGATCATATCCCGTTGAGCCGGCGACGGAAATTCCACATTCCTTAGGCGGGAGGGAAGCGAGCAATTCCAAAAAACAATAAACCTTTGTGGTCATTTATAGGAGTTATGCATAAGTAAATAGTGTGTGTAAAAGTAATTAAAGTGCACATAACTTCATCAATATGTACATATACTGTCATTATTGTTATTGCTGTACGTTATGAATGTGCACCAAGTATTGCTGAGTTTGTGTGTTCATAATTGCATGAGTTCCTAACGTGTTAATGAGTTAATCATGTGTTTGTTTACGAATGGGTGTGTTTATCATCGCATAACGCGTTAATTATATCCTGAACATCAAATTAAGAACGTTTATTGCCTTTATCAATAAGTTACTGTGCTAAGAAGTTATTCATGCGCAAGTTATTAAATCAGTTGCCGTGTTTATTAATTGGGTTGTGTGTTAACCAAACACACGAGTTAATAACTTTAAAAGTTACTAACTTTAAAAGTTACTAACTTGTTAGTAGCAAGTGATCAACATTAAGTGACACCACTACTGTGAGTGAGCCACACACGTGCTATTGATGTGCACTGTACATCAGTCAATGCAGTTGTCATCAACCCCTAGTCCCACGTTTAACATTGACAGCATCATCATCATTCTTATCATCATCATCATCATATCGAGTAGTGTTACACACAGCGGCACAATGTACACGAATCGCACCTTTCAACAGCGGCATCATCAGCAGCAGCAGCACCATCAGCTGTTGTTGTTGCACGGCAGCAGTAGCAAGGAGACCCATGTCTCTTTAACACCACCACCACCACCAACAACAACAACAACAACAACCACCACGAGGATGATGGAAGAGGATGATGATGATGAAGAGGAGGAGGAGGAGGAGGGTAGCTCAGAGCCACGACATTTCACACGACACGGGGCTAGGACGAGGTAGGAAACGATGAGAAGTGGTGATGGTGGTGGTGGTGATTTGGTGGGAGGAGCGCACCCGGGCGGATTTGCGTCACCAGACAGGAGGCTCGCACCCCCCACAGCCAGCAAACCACCCCCACCCACTACCACTACCCCCCACCACTACCCCCCCCACCACTACCCCCACCCACCACTACCCCCCACCACTATCCCCCCCCCACTACCCCCCCCCACTACCCCCCCCCCCACCACTACCACCCCACTACCCCCCCACCACTACCCCCCCCACCACCCCCACCACCACCCCCCCCCACTACCCCCCCCACCACTATCCCCCCCACCACTACCACCCCCACCACTACCCCCCCCACCACTATCCCCCCACTACCCACCCACTACCCCTACCCCCCACCACCACTACCCCCCCACCACTACCCCCCCCCACCACTACCACCCCGCACCACCCCCACCACTACCCCCCCCCACCACTACCCCACCACCACTACCCCCACCCACCACTACCCCCCCCACTACCCCCCCCCCCACCACTACCACCCCCCCACCACTACCACCCCCCCCACCACTACCCCCCACCACTACCACCCCCCCCACCACTACCACCCCCCCCACCACTACCCCCACCACCACCCCCACCCCCCCACCACTACCCCCCCCACCACCACCCCTCTCACACAGAGACCCATAGACTCACACAGAGACTCATAGACTCACACAGACACCCATAGACTCACACAAAGACCCATAGACTCACACAGATCCACAGACTCGCAGAGACCCACAGACTCACACAGAGACCCACAGACTCACACAGAGACCCATAGTTTGTCTTCCCCCCACTCCTCCGATTAGCATGGTTGGCTACGTACGGTGCGAAAGAAGTTCAACACACACAGGCACACAGAGACCCATAGACTCACACTAGACACATAGACTCACACAGAGACCGGTAGACTCACACAGAGACCCACAGACTCACACAGAGACTCATAGACTCACACAGAGACCCACATATTCACACAGAGACCCATAGACTCACACAGATCCATAGACTCGCACAGAGTCCCACAGACTCACACAGACACCCATAGACTCACACAAAGACCCATAGACTCACACAGATCCACAGACTCGCAGAGACTCACACAGAGACCCACAGACTCACACAGAGACCCATAGTTTGTCTTCCCCCCGCACCTCCGATTAGCACGGTTGGCTACGTACGGTGCGAAAGAAGTTCAACACACAGGAACACGTGTAGGGGTGGTTACGGGAAGTGAAGCGGACAAACACACAGGGGTGTCTACATCCACGTCCGCAACGGTTAACCCTGGGGGGCTATGGGTGGCGCTGTGATCCCCCATAGCCCCCACCCCTCGGAGGCGATTCCTATAAAAGGCGGGGAGCCAGAGGCAGAGGTCGCAAACGGGTTTTGATTCCTTACCCGTACCCGGCTGCACCAGGGTCACAAATGGGTACGGGTACCCGTTCCCTACCCGTACCCTACCAAAAATGAGTGACAAACGGTGACTCACCAGTAACTAACGGCCTACCCGTACCCGGCTGCACCAGGATCGCAAACGGGTACACGTACCCGGCCGGGTACGGGTATCGGGTAGGGTACGGGTATCGGGTACCCGGTTGCGACCTCTGGCCAGAGAGCTCGAGGTCCAGTGTGTTAGAAGCTTAGCCAGTGAAGACTGAAGACCGGCAGATAGGCCCTGGAACTCCCCTGGCTCGCTGTCCTTCTCAGGACCGGGCAGGGCAAGCCAGTGGCGTGGCCCTAAGAGTTTCAGGACCGATGCTCTTGTAAGAGCCGGTCTGGTTGATGCGGAACATTAGGAATGGATCACTCTTTTAAGTGTGTTCTTGTGCAGCAAGGGAGTAAAGTGTGGTTCTGTGAAGGTCCCTGATGTGCTGTGCAATGCATCAATGCATGTGTGTACAGCAGCATGTAATGTCTGAGTCGGGCCTGTAGGTGGCTGGCAGGGTTAAGGAATAACCGCGCGTGTAAACCAGCCACGTGGTTCATGGCGTCTCGGAAGGATGGCTGCGTGTAACACGCGCTGTTGCATTTTACAGAGTAACGGTGCTGTTCTTCCCAAGATTCATATGAACCACAATAAATAAATGTGCTTGCCCTCGATTTGGAGCACCTGCCCACGTCCTTCATCTCGAGTGTGCAACATTGACCAGGGCCGGATCAGATAGCCTCCCCTAGCACTCTTAGCGGAGGACTGGGAGTAAGATCAGTCAAGGGGATAGTGCTAGGGATTCATCTTCTTGGTTCTTTCGGTAAAGTCACGTAGAAGGGAAGTAATAAAATAATAAAAAATAAAACATAATAAAATAATTGCTGCCGCTGTATGTTTTATTTTTTATCATTTTATTACTTCCCTTCTACGTGACTTTACCGAAAGAACCAAGAAGATGAATCCCTGCAGTCACGAAAGCTTTAAATCGAAAGTGCTAGGGGTGTTTCCCATTGATTACGGGTGAAGGGGCCGTTACCCCTTCAAGTATTGTGTTATACCGCCCTTTGGTTAAATGAACAATTGTGCCTTAACTACGGTCATCTCTGTCTCGCTGAGAACTCACTACGTATGTTAAACTTCTTTCGCACCGTACGTAGCCAACCGGTGCTAAATCGTAGGCGCGGTGGTGGCAAGAACAACAGACTAACTAACACAACAGCGAGCAGTAGCAGCAGGGAGTCTCTTTAATTCGCGTGGTGGTGGTGATGAGGTAGGAGCCGGGGGGGTGGTGGGGGGTGCTGGTGGGGGGGGTGCTGGTGGTGGGGGGGTGCTGGTGGGGGGGTGCTGGTGTTGGTGGGGGGGTGGGGGGGGTTGCTGGCTGTGGGGGGTAGTGGTGGGGGGTGGTGGTGGGGGTGCTGGTGTTGGTGGGAGTGCTGGTGTTGGTGGGGGGGTGGGGGGTTGCTGGCTGTGGGGGGTAGTGGTGGGGGTGGTGGTGGGGGGGTGGTGGTGGTGAGGGGGGGGGTGCTGGTGGTGGGAAGTTGCTGGCTGTGGGGGGTAGTGGTAGGGGGTGGTGGTGGTGGGGTAGTGGTGGTGGGGGGTAGTGGTGGGGGTGGTGGTGGTGGGGGGGTGGTGGTGGGGGGTGGTGGGGGGGGGTGGTGGGGGGAGGTAGTAGTGGTGGGGGTGGTGGTGGGGGTGGTGGTGGGGGGGTGGTTTGCTGGCTGTGGGGGTTGCGAGCCTCCTATCTGGTGACGCAAATCCGCCCGGGTGCGCCCCCCCCCTAACCACCACCACCATCATCACCACTTCTCATCGTCTCCTACCTCGTCCTAGCCCCGTGTCGTGTGAAATGTCGTGGCTCTGAGCTACCCTCCTCCTCCTCTTCATCATCATCCTCTTCCATCATCCTCCTGGTGGTTGTTGTTGTTGGTGGTGGTGTTAAAGAGACATGGGTCTCCTTGCTACTGCTGCCGTGCAGCAACAACAGCTGATGGTGCTGATGCTGCTGCTGCCGCTGTTGAAAGGTGCGATTAGTGTACATTGTGCCGCTGTGTGTAACACTACTCGATATGATGATGATGATAAGAATGATGATGATGATGCTGTCAATGTTTAACGTGGGACTAGGGGTTGATAACAACTGCATTGACTGATGTAACACGTGTGTGGCTCACTCACAGTACAGTAGTGGTGTCACTTAATGTTGATCACTTGCTACTAACAAGTTAGTAACTTTTAAAGTTAGTAACTTTTAAAGTTAGTAACTCGTGTGTTTGGTTAACACACAACCCAATTAATAAACACGGCAACTGATTTAATAACTTGCGCATGAATAACTTCTTAGCACAGTAACTTATTGATAAATGCAATAAACGTTCAATCTTAACTTTGGAGCTTTCGTGACTGCAGGAATTATTCTTTGGTTCTTTCGGTAAAGTCACGTATAAAGAAAAAATAATAAACTAAATAATAACATACGACGTTTCGATTGCAACACAAGCAATCATCATCAGGTATAATGAAATAGCGACAGAAAATCTAACCAGAAAAAATTATACACAGACATATAAGCAGACAGATATCACCAAGATACACACAGCGGGCAACACAGGTACAGAGACGATCACCCCTCTCTGTACCTGTGTTGCCCGCTGTGTGTATCTTGGTGATATCTGTCTGCTTATATGTCTGTCTATAATTTTTTCTGGTTAGATTTTATGTCGCTATTTCATTATACCTGATGATGATTGCTTGTGTTGCAATCGAAACGTCGTATGTTATTATTTAATTTATTATTTTTTCTTTATACGTGACTTTACCGAAAGAACCAAAGAATAGAGCAATAAACGTTCTTAATTTGATGTTCAGCATATAATTAACGCGTTCGTTATGCAATGATAAACACACCCATTCGTAAACAAACACATGCTTAACTCATTAACACGTTAGGAACTCATGCAATTATGAACACACAAACCCAGCAATACTTGGTGCACATTAATAACGTACAGCAATAACAATAATGACAGTATATGTACATATTGATGAAGTTATGTGCACTTTAATTACTTTTACACACGCTATTTACTTATGCATAACTCCTATAAATGACCACAAAGGTTTATTGTTATTTGAAATTGCTCGCTTCCCTCCCGCCTAAGGAATGTGGAATTTCCGTCGCCGGCTCAACGGGATATGATCACTAACCCCATGCTCGATTGAGCGGGAAGCTACTGGGACTTCCGAAAAGCATGAAGGTTAACAGTAAACACGTGGGCCAGGGTTAGGCGAGATGTTAACTACCTCGCCTGGTGTGCAGGAGGTCGTGGGTTCGATCCCGACCCTGACGCCTGCTGCTGTATATTTGGAGTTTGCATGTCTGGCCATGTCTCGCACCCCCAGAAAGGGCATCTCACACCCCCAGGGGGTGCGTGCACCCCAGGTTTAAGAACTACTGCTCGAGGAGATAGAGCGCTTGAAATCTTCTCGTGTGCAGGTGGTGAGATGGATTTCTCTTTTTTAAATCCTTAATATTAAGTTCACTTGCTTGCTTGCTTGCG